TTTTCCCCCAGAAGACATTGACAATGCCTGCAGTCATTTTTCCTGTTACACCTTGGGTGAAGGTGGTACTGGCATTTAATGGGTAGAGTCCAGAGATGCTTCTGAACATTCCACAGTACATAAGAACTAAACAAAGAATTACCCAGTCCTAAACCACCATACTCCATTTAGCTTGGAGCAAAAGAGAGTTTAAACCCAGGCAATTCTTTAAACAGTTTAGGGTAAGACTTGCCTGTTTTTAGAGAACTGGAATGATATTCTGTGTTAATAAGAAGAGAGAAAGCAAAGTTAGAAAAATGTTATGGGGGCCAGGTGCACTTTGGGAGGCTGAGACAGGTGGATCACCTGAGGCCAGGAGTTTGAGACCAGCCTGGCCAACATGGCGAAACCCCATCTCTACTGAAAATACAAAAACTAGCTGGGTGCTGTGGTGCCCGCCTGTAATCCCAGCTACTCAGGAGGCTGAGGAGAATAATCCCTTGAACCTGGGAGGTGGAGGTTGCAGTGAACCAAGATCACACCACTGCACTCCAGCCTGGATGACAGAGTGAAACTGTATCTCAAAAGAATAAAAACAAAAAATATTTTAGGTTTAGGTAGTTGGTAATGAAATTTTTTTAAAATAAAAAGTTATTTAAAACTCTACTATAATCTCTTTAATCACCTTAGCATCTTTTCATCCTGAGCTCACTCTGCTGCAGCCTTTCTAGGCTTCTTGCTGTTTCCCCAAGTGCTCACTTACCTCAGGCCATTGCATTTCTTTGGTGAGTATGCTCAGGGTAATTCAGCATTTTACATGGCTGCCCCTTCTCAGCACCATCATTGCCTCCTCACCCAGATCTTCCCTGACCACTGAATCTCAGGAAGACCCCTTTCTCATCTTACTCTCCTCCCTTTACCTTATTTATGTCTTTCTAAGCTAGTGGTTCTCAAGCAGGGACGATGTTGAGCTTCAGTGAACACTGGGTAGCGTGCGGAGACATTTTGGTTTTTAAAACTGGGATGATGGCATTGACATCAGTGTAGGAGACCTGGAATGCGACCAAACATTCCTAAAATGCACAGGACAGACCCTGTCTCTTCTGGTTCCTTCTCCCTCAGACAAAAAGCTATCTGGACCTAAATGTCAATTGTGCTGAGGTTGAGAAACTTTTTCAGAGAGTGCTTGGACACTTCATCAGCTGGCAGTGAGAAACACCCAAGGAAGCCGTTCTTTTATTTCTTCTCTTCCTGCCTCTTGAGTGTTTGAAGGAAAGTCTGGTGTGGCTTTGTACAGCCTTAACATCCTGCTAACTGTTGGTAATTTCCTTTTTCCACAGCGGGACAGCCTTAAGCTCACAGCCCTGAACAGGCAGCATTTTCATGGTGACCTGCCATCAAGGCAAGTAGCTCTAGGGTTTTCCACTTACCAGAGTGATGAGGATTCCCTTTCTAAAGAAATCTTAAGCAAAATAAAAAGTGGATCACTTTTAAGAAAAGCAGTTAATAGTCACATTCCAGGTCCCCAGAGCACCAATTGGGTGTCAAGCCTGTTCCAGGCACTGTCCATACTCCACTCATTTAATTCTCACACAACTTTGTTGTATGTACTCAAAGGATTTCAATTTATAGAAGTGTCTGGGTGACAATAGAGAGAGGTTAATGCTGTTAAAAGAAGAATCCTATTAAGAATATAAAAGTGTTATTGCATGCATCTTGCAAGAGTCTGGCATTGTTTATTTTGAGAAGTGAGATGTGTGCCTTGGTTATTATCAGTAATGTCTGTAACTCCAAAGAGAATAAGGAGTGTCCTTGCAAGGCTTTGTACTGTGGCCTTGGTTGTGTAGACATGCGATTTTGATTTGTTTTTTTCAATGAGGGAAGAGATTCTCAGAATTCTTTACCTGGAAAGGGACAATTTTTAGGCAGTCAGCAGTTTGCAGTTAACTTGAAGATGGGGCATTTGGTGCCAAGTTGACTGCATGAAGTTTGACCAAGTGTGTTATTCTTTGGGTCCCATCCTTTCTCAGAGACATCCTGACTAAGGGATAGAAAGCAGCAACAGTCTACTGAGCTTCTTCACTTTGGGTACCAGTCCCAACCCTGTATGTCGGTGCCCTTAGTCCTGGTCGTGACGAGGGACTGCGAAAAGGAAATAGAGACACAAGAGGAGAGTTTACAGCGTTGGCCCCAAGCTCTGGACTCCAAATACTTATATTATGTGCATAATCTCGTTGATCTTATAGGCGTGGAAGGGGAGGGTGAAGGGGTCTTATGAAACATGCTGGGTTTTGTCAACTGTTCCTGGTTCATAATCCCCATAGCCCTTTTGTTAAAATGTTGGGTGCGTTAGGCCTTGTGGGCAGGCCTCTGACTTTCTTCTGCCTTCCTTTCACTCTTAACGTTCCTCCACCTTTCTGATTGTGGGTCTTAGTCTTATGAGTGGGCCCAACCCTAGACCCTGGGGAAGGAATGCTGATGTTACGAAGTTTCCATAAAGACTCAAGAGGTCACAGTTGGCTGGGCACAGTGGCTTACACCTGTAATCCCAGCACTTTGGGAGGCCAAGGTGGGTGGATCATGAGGTCAGGGGATGGAAACCATCCTGGCCAACATGGTGAAATCCCATCTCTACTGAAAATTAAAAAATTAGCCGGGCATGGGGTGCGTGCCTATAATCCCAGCTAGTCGGGAGGCTGAGGCAGGAGGCAGGAGAATCACTTGAACCAGGGAGCTGGAGGTTGCAGTGAGCAGAGATGGCGCCACTGCACTCCAGCCTGGCAACAGAGTGAGACTCTGTAAGAGGTCACAGTTCAGTGAGCTTCCAGGTAGTCCCCCCAGGAAGGTCATGGAAGCTCTGTGCCCCTTCGCCCACATCTCACCCTAGGAGTTGCTTCATCTGTACCCTTTGCAACATCCTTTATAATACACTGGTAAACATGAGTGTTTCCTTCAGTTCGTGAGCTGCTTCAGCAAATTAATTGAACCCAGAGGGGGTTTCGGGAACCCTGACTCAAAGCCCATCAATCAGACATTTTGGTGGCCTGGACTTGGGACTGGTATGTAGGGTGGGGCAGTCTTGTAGACTCAGCCCTCAACCTGTAGGATCTGAAGCTATCTCTAGGTGGATTATAAGGGAACAGAATTAGAGGACACCTGCCCCGCATTGGTGTCCGTTGCTTGGAGTCTGGGGAAAAAACCCCACACATTTGGTCATAGAAGTCTTGTTCTGTATTGATTGTTGTCACGGTGTGGCAGTAGAGGAAAAACATGATTAGAGAGAGTTTTCCCTTCATAGTGGGGTTTCTTCTGGAAAAGCAAGACAGGGCATGGTAAACAGTTTAGGGCTGGCTAATTTGAGTAATTTCAGTGAGGTTTGGGGCATAGGGACTATCTCTAGTTGTCTGGCACCCGGCCCTGGGTTGATTTAGGGCAGGGGAAATACTTGGTATATGAGAGTTTGTTAAGGAAGTGGTCGTGGGTATTTTTTTTTTTAATTAGAAGTTCTCTTTTTATAAAATGTCTAGAGTACACTATTTGATGTTTCTGTAAATGTCCTTGTATAACCCTATCACAGTAGAATGTTCACTTTTTAAAATTTCTAGTGGTTCATGAAATACTGAGGTCTGGAGTCTCTGAACCTGCCGCTCACCCTGGCTGCTGGTCCCTGAGGATGAGTCCTCCAGCTCACATCTCTGCATCATTATCACCACCCACCACGTACTCTTTGGTGCTAGTAGTTTCCTCCTTAGTGCAGTGTTTGGGATGGGAGCCAGAACCATGGTGCCCAGCCCCAGCTCTGCTCTTTAAAAACTGTGTGGTCTTGGACAAATTTCTGACCTTGTCTGTGCCTCAGTGTTCTCATTGGTAAAATGAGGACTTACCATATCTGCATCCCAGGGTGGAGAGTTACTGATATGGTTTGGCTCTGTGTCGGCACCCATATCTCACCTTGAATTGAAATAACCCCCCTGTGTTGTGCAAGGTAATTGAATCATGGGGTGTTTTTTCCCATGCTGTTCTCATGATAGTGAATAAGTCTCATGAGATCTGATGGTTTTATAAAGGGGAGTTCCCCTACTCATGACCTCTTGCCTGCTGCCCTGTAAGATGTACCTTTCTTCGCCTTCTGTCATTATGTTGAGGCCTCCCCAGCCATGTGAAACTGAGTCCATTAAACCTTCTTTTCTTTATAAATTGCCCAGTCTCAGATACATCTATTAGCAGCGTGAGAACAGACTAATACAGTTATTGCATGAAAACGGCTGAGAACAGCACCTGGGAGACCAGGCTGTGTGCAGGGAGCCATTGCAATCTTATTGTCATCCTCATCACGATTATTGTCATTGGCATGCCTGGACCTGGCACTTTCTGGGCAGCGTTGTGAGGCTTTGTGGTTAAACAGTACAGAGATGGCAGGACCAGGTGCTTATTGACTCAGCCATTCACCAGTTCTGTGCTCTTCAGCAAATCACTTTACCTCCTGAGCCTGGGTTTCTTTGTCAGTAAAATGGTGTTGATCACAATGTGGACTTCCTGGGGATGCTGTGAGAAAATCCTCAGCTAGAATCCTCATTTTGTCTTTGGTCTACAGGAAGAGCATTATAAAACATTGCTTAGAATTCAAAAAAAGTAAGACTCAGATCAATGAAATCTCATACCTTGTTTTGAATGAAAAGAGTCATTATTTAATATGTAAACACATTAATTTTTCTGTAAGATATTCCATAAATACTCACTTTTGGAATTATATAATGCATTTAACTTGTGTGGCCCAGTCCCCTGGACATGGTTATAGCCTATAAGTACTAGTTTTTTACTTACTATCAGGAGTAGAGATTCCATGGCAGCATGACATGGCCTGCTTTTGGTTTCCAGGTCACATGCCAGCTTTTTGTTCCCATGCACAGGAGGAGCTTCATTCCAAGGTCTCGTCCCCATCCTGAAGTCCCAGACTAGATTGTAGGTCTATATTTCCTTTCACCAACATCTGTGTGTCCACTTTCTTTCTCCATAAACAGGGTGTCCTGTTCCCAGACCTGAGCTGATCTACCACCTAGAGCATGGGCAGGAGCCATGGACCAGGAAGGAAGACCTCTCCCAAGGCACCCATCCAGGTAGGAGCCAAGAGCTGGGCAGGTGGGAATCCCTGCAGGTTTGAGACTGTGAGGAGACCACTGGCCCTGGGATCTCTTGGGAAACTTCTCACTGTGGCCTCTCTATATATGACCCTTATAAAATCACAGTAGAATGTTCCATTTGAGAGCCATGGAGCCATTTGACCTGTGGTTTCTCTGTCCTCCCAGCCCCATCACACTTGTCACCATTCCTGGGAAGGAGTGGGATTTACAAACTAAGATGTGTCTGGGGGTTCCAACTGTGTGGGCCTGTAATGTGGCTTGCCAATCACCTGCTGTGTGGCCCTGATGAAGATGCAGGATCTCCTGTCTTTATATATAACTTCAGCTAAATTAACAGTAGCTGCTCTATCAGACAGACTCTAAAATCTCAGTGGTTCACATATGAAAACTCTCACTCATATCTGTGTGGGTCAGGACTCAGGTTCCTTCTGTCATCAGCCTGTTGCATTAAGATTATCCTAACATCCTTGAGCAGGCAGAGAATTGAGAGAATAAGGGAAGTTACACCCCCTTCCAGAAATACCAGCTCCCCTTACATTCTACCCACAGGAACTAGGCATTTGGCTTGGGTCCATGGGTCTGGGCAATGTGGCTGAGCTGCATGTCCAAGAAGAGCAGATGGTTTGGTGAACCATCTACTCAGTCCAATACACTAGGTCTGTTCCTGAAAAGTGTTATCAGAAATTATTTTTATGTCATTGGGCAGTTTGAAGATGTAATCATGTGATACATTAATGCATAAAACTGCATAGTTTACCTTACTCTCCCAATTTCTGTTTCATTGTATTCTGCCTACCAGCCTTTCCCACCTTCTCCTTCCACCCATCCCCTGAGTGTCAGTCAGACACTAACAAGCAGTCCTTTTCCCATTTCTTCCTATATCTCCTGTTTTCCAAAACCCTCAGGGTGACATATGACCTCTGTCCCACACTTAGGCTGCTGAGGGCACTGGGGTCATCTGTCAGGTATGTGGATTGGTGCCACTGCAGAGCCTAGGCCTCTGCCTGCATGGGTTCCTTGAGCTGCTTATCCAACCCTGAGTGTCTGTGCAGTCCCTGTTCAGCCCTCAGAGTCTGTTCCAGACTGTTCCTTCTTCAGTGTCACATCTCCACTTGAAATATCTCAAAAGCACAAAACTCAGCATGCCTAAGATGGAATCCATGATCTTGTTGACTCCTGCCACCTTCCAAGTTTCTGTGAATGCTTCTGCCATCCAGGCAGATTAGGAGACTAGACCCAACCTGAAGACAGGTCAACCCCACCATTCCATATGTCCCTGCATCTAGCCAACCAGACGGTTTTCATCTTCAGGCACAGGTGTCTCAGCATATGAGTGCTGATGTATCAGCATGCTTTCTTGTTAAACGAATGTCTGCTATCTTGTATTCCTTGATCAGCAGCCGTTACATGTTCATCTCAACTTCTTGTATTGATAACTTCTCTTTTCCTTACTGGACAAGGTCTTGCTCCAGCCACGGCCAATTCCGATACCACGGTCTAGATCACATTCCCTTTCATGGACATCCTTTCTTCATTTATATTCTGCTTGTTCTATAATTTCATCCTTTCTCTACTCAACATAAAAACATGCTTGTTTCTTTTTTCTACCTTTTCCTGATTTTTTAAGATAGGGTTTCACTGTATAGCCCGGGCTGGAGTGCAGTGGTGCTATCTTGGCTCATTGCAGTCTCTGTACCTCAGCCTCCCAGGTAGCTGAGATAACAGGTGCATGCCACTATACCTGGCTAATTTTTGTATTTTTATTTTTATTTATTTGTTTATTTTTGATACGGAGTTTTGCTCTCCTTGCCCAGGTTGGAGTATAGTGGCACGATCTCGGCTCACTGCAACCTCCACCTCTGGGTTCAAGCAGTTCTCCTGCCTCAGCCTCCCTAGTAGCTGGGATTACAGGCATCTGCCACCACCCCTGGCTAATTATTTGTATTTTTAGTAGAGACAGGATTTCACCATGTTGGCCAGGCTTGTCTCGAACTCCTGACCTTAGGTGATCTGCCTGCCTCTGCCTCCCAAAGTGCTGGGATTACAGATGTGAGCCACTGTGACTGGCTGTACTTTTAGGAGAGACAGGGTTTCACTGTGTTGCCCAGACTAGTCTCAAACCCCTGGCCTCAAGCAATCCATCCACTTCAGACTCCCAAAGTGCAGGGATTACAGGCTTCAGTCACCATGCCCAGCCTCAAGTTTCTTACACTTGAAGAAAAAACAAATGCTTGTGGCTCATGACATATTTATATATTCGTTGATATATTTGTTTACTATGTGGGCATTTAATTGTTAAGATTTGGCTGGCTCAGTGGTTCATGCCTATAATCCCCGCACTTCAGGAGGCTGAGGTGGGAGGATTACTTCAGCTCGGGAGTTTGAGACCAGCCTGGGAAACATGGCGAGACCCCATCTCTACAAAATTTTTAAAAATTGCTGGGCATGGTGGCTCATGCCTGTGGTCCCAGCTATTCTGGAGGCCAAGGTGGGAGGATCTCTTGAACCCACGAGGTTGAGGCTGAAGTGATCTTATTCATGCCATAGCACTCCAGCCTGGGTGACAGTGAGATCCTATGTCAAAAAAATAAGTAAAAATAATTCATGAGAGACCATGAACCAGAGGCAAAAAATAATAATAATTGTCTACATTTCATTCACAAAAACAGAGATACTGTGGACATTCATATATGTAGTTCATTTTAGGTGTATATTTTTATAATTCTTGGAGTGAAATTACTAGTTTGTAGGCTATGCAAATGCTCAAGTTCGCAAGATCATTCCCATTGTTTTCTAAAGAGCCTATGCCAGTTTGCACTTAACCAGGAAAGTGAGGTTCTGTTGACCTTTTCATTATAAGGCTTCTCAATGTTTGTTCATTAAATGAACACAGAATAGTCTCATGTGCCCTTGATTTGCCTTTCTTTTGCTGCTGAAATGATTTAGCAACTTACTGTGATTTTTGGTTCATTTATATTTTCTTCTGTGAAAATACAAATCATTATTTATTTTACAATAAATTCGTATTCCATTAACCTGTTTTCCTTTCTTCATTTGCTTGGTAGGGATTCTCTGTACATTTCTGATTCATACCTTTTATCACTTACATATGCTGAAAAATATATTGTAGTTTTTAATTTTGTCCTCTTACTCCCTTTAAAGTATCTTTTTCGCCAAAAGATACTTTTTTTGCTTAATTTACTGTAGTCTAACTTATGACTTTTCTTATGTAATTAATGACTTTTTGTCTTATATAAAAATGTTGATTTACCTAATATTAAATATATATTTTATTCTAAAAATTTTAAAACTTGGCACTTGACATTTTTTCCAGTGAGGTTGATTTGGACTATATAGTGAGATAGCAATACAGTTATCTTCATTCTCCATGTGGCTAGCTGGTTTTTCTAGCTTCATTTACTTAATTTAACATACCATCAAGTTCCATAATTAAGTATAGTTGGTATTTTACAGGGAATTATATTGAATTTATATAATTTGGGTCAAATTATCAGTTCATATTATTAAATTCTTCATTGATATAGATCTTCTTTATTATCTTCAAATAAGATTTTATAATTTTCTTCATCTTAATTATGTGTATTTGGGG